TACTTGTTTAGCACTATCACAAAAATAGCAGAGTAAGAAACCAAAAAGGTGCTCTGCTGTACTGTAGATTACAAGTGGGTCACTGTATAATGGATGGTAAAAATTCCCGTTTTTCCTTAATTTTTCTTTTGTTTTTCCCGGCGCTTTTGAAAACTACTGGGAAATTTAAATTTTGACCTCCCCAAGCACCAACGATATTCACTTTCTGATCGAACAAGATACTAAAAATGAAAATCGTAGCATTATTTTGACTACTTATCGTGTACACAGACACAAAAAAAATAAAAAAAAATAAAAAAACACACATCATTGTAAAATCAATACATTCATCGTTTCACTCAGAATCTTATCTAATACGTTTCATGCTTTCACAAAGCTAGTTTTGAAATTTTATTTTGCATATTAATACATATTTCTTATATTTTATATTTTTAGATGCATATTTTAAATAATTTATCATTTTTATCAATATTTTTCAAAAAATATAAAGTATTTCAATATATTTATTTTTTTATTTAGATGCCTTCCTCTCCCAAAGAATGGACTGATGTAGCGGATCAATTTGATAAGCAATGGAATTTTCCTCATTGTTTAGGGTCAATGGACGGGAAACACATAACTTTGCAAAGCCCGATTAAAAGTGGTAGTGATTATTATAATTACAAATCATTTTTTAGTATCGTTCTGTTCGCACTGGTCGACGCGAATTATAATTTTATTTATGCAAATGTAGGTTGCCAAGGTAGAATTTCCGATGGGGGTGTTTTCAAAAATTGTGATCTTAACAAAAAAATAGAAACTAATAATTTAAATGTACCACAAGCACTGCCACTACCTCAAAGGAGTATACATATACCATTTGTTTTTGTAGCTGACGAAGCATTCCCACTAACCGAAATAATAATGAAACCTTTTTCTGGCACCCACCCTACGAATTCAAAAGAGCGTGTTTTTAACTACCGTTTAAGCAGATGTAGGAGAGTAGTTGAAAATGTCTTTGGAATTTGTTCCTCAATTTTTCGTGTTTTACGTAAACCGTTATTGTTAGGGCCAGAAAAAGCAGAAATTGTTGTGATGACTATTGTTTATTTGCATAATTTTTTAAGGAAAAGTAGTTTCTCTCGAAACACTTATACTCCTCCCGGTTGTTTCGATAGAGAGGACGAAGGACATTTGATAGAAGGACATTGGAGACAAAATGATCAACCATTACAACCCCTTCGAAATATTCCCCGTAAATCAAAAACTACTGCACATGAAATAAGAAACGAGTTTGCAACATATTTTAGTGAAAACGGAGCACTGCCTTGGCAAAATAACTATGCATAACCATTATGTTTGTATATTGTATTATTTGTATTTCAATATTTCATAATTTAGTTTAACTATTAATTTACGTACCTATCTTTAGGTATACAAATATAAATTATTACAATTTATTAATTATAAGTACTCACGTTATCTGTACTGAGAGTTGGTCGAGGATCATCTCGATCTAGCAAAAACTGAAAAGCCTCAAAGGCAAACCACTTGGAAACATAAACGTCTTTTCGTCCTAAATAATAATCAATTAATTTATATTTTACCACTTTGTAAATTGTAAATTCTATTTAAAATTGTAAATAATTCTACACTTATATAGGTAAGTACAATGTTTATACGATGATCTAGTTCTTATGTTATTTTCAATAATAATTAATAATAAATAACTTTATATTTTCTTTATATTATAATATTAAACTAATATAATACTAATATGTAACAAATAGTTTGTATTGTTTTCAATAATATAAAATATAGAATAGTTAACCACTTGTCAGTCATTAGTCATTTCTGTTATTTTTTTTTGTATTATTAGCTATTAGTACAGGACAATTAAATTATTTATATTCCTTTATAAATTTGTTATTTTAAAAATTTAATTTTAGGGTTTTTCATAACTTAGGGCTGTTAAGAATTTATTTATTTACAGTAAAGAAATAAACCAATAAAACAAAGCTATAAATATACAATATAACGTGTTTTGTTTAAACTTCCCGTCGAGTTGGTTCCTGCCAAACCGCAACATGTTGCGGTCGGTCAGCGGCAGGAATCGACTGGTCCCGATAAAACGCATAGTGTGGCACGGCCCTAAATATTGATTCTTATTTGTGATACTGATAGTTTATGGCTAATTTAAATAACAATTAATACAATTTCCAGTTGGTTACAGTGTACACTGGACGTGGATATATTATAAATATCATAATAGTTATAATCTTAAAAGTCCGTGTTAAAAGGTAAAAAAACTACTTATTTATCTCTCCTTTTGATGCCCGTTATATATTAAGTATATTTTAGTTTATAATATCATTAATTATCATACTAATATATTTTACTTATATACTAATGTAGTGTTTATAATCAATGGAATTATTACCATACAATATTAATATAATATGATTTAACGTACCTGTACCAGTCCCCATGGTCTTCTTCCCTTTGGCCTTTTCTCGGCGATAAGATCCTAATAGACTTAATGCTTTTTTTTTAACTTCTTCGGGATTTTTGTTGAGCTTTTTACCTATTTCTTCCCACGCATCTTGTTTTTTGGTTTTAGAGAAATAGAATGCGTGTTTTGGATTCCACAATACTTCTTCTTGTTGATACTCTTGGATCAACTGAATGCAGTCTACGTTGCACCACTCCATTTCAATTATTTTGTTTAAAAATGTAATTAAAAAACTAAAGAGTTAAGTAGCTAGCACAGTAGCACGCATGAGCAAGTGAACTTTTTCTACGCACGCGTCCAAACGGAGCAGTGCGTCGGGCAATTATGTCTTTGAGCAATCACAATTTACCGACAACAATCGGATCGCGTTCGCTGTGCATCGCGAGCATTCGTGCGTGCTCGGAATTTCGTCCAAACGATGTGAATTTGTGCGACGCACGGCGTGAGCACACATGCTCAGCTTGTGCGTGCTCTCGTGTGGACGCGCCAAGGTTCGCCGCGATCTTTTTTTACGAGTAACGCGTTTGAATATTATTAAACTATTACTGGGTAGCTAAACCAGCAATCTTATAACAATATTCAACTAACTATTTCTTATATAATTCTATTAAATGAATTTATTACTTTTAACGATTTAATTTATCACACAAAAAGGAATTTATTTTTATTATAATATCTTATTACTATTGTTGTGTCGTGTACCTACTCTAAGAATTATTTCACCACAAAGAATGTATAGGTTATTAATAATAATAAATAACTAACAACATACCGGCGAATTTTAAATATTGTAATAATCTTGGTGCTTGGTACCTACTATCGTAGTACTAATAGTAGATAAGTGGCTACCAAGTTATTATAGATGCAGGTCGCAGACACTTTATTTGATGATGTTGTAGTCGTGGATGATAATAAATATAAGACAGTTGAAGTATGATATAATATTGTGAGGTTTTATTAAACGTTCGATAATTTTCTAAGTCCAAAATAATGTTGTACAAAGTGGCGTGAAGGTGCTTGCACTAATGGGTGGTAGTACACGTCTGAATACAGGTCTATTCGGGCTCCCTTATATATGAGGTCCCCCGTACCCCTTGCCTACATATACGATATCTCGGTTCTCACGGATGTGATTTGTTGTGGACATTTATCCGGCCTACGCATTTACGGCTGCATGTATTTCTACATTATGATTATTATAAAATAATCTTTTTTTTACTCTTTTATATTTTGATTTCGTCGTATTCAGTTTTTCTGTAAAATATTTCATCCTATTATTTTTTAACCCTGGTGTCTTTTATGTTCCCTAATCTCCCGGTTATGCCGATCTACCGTATAGTATCATAACTATGCACCTGTGGAATTTGGTTTTATTGTTACTGTCAATGTTACTACACACATAGAAATGTGGAGTTGTATTAACTCCAAATGTTCTCAATGCCAAACACATTCGCACGTCGATTTTCGCTTACTGCGGCTGGACGGTTGTTTTAACATCATCATATTTCTCACGCTATAATTTGAATGTAACTTCTTATTGGAGTTAAAACAACACCAGATTTTGTTGTTCCTTTTAATTTTTTGATGTTGTTTTAACATTATTTACGTGTTGTTCTGATAACAAATATTACGTGTTTCTACTACTAAAAATAGTTAAAGGAACACCCTATTGAAGGTTGGAAGAGACCCTATATTTAATGTTTATTCTTACAAATAAACAAGTTGAATCAACTTATCTACTTTTGAATTTAACTGTCATAAACAAGTGAAGTTAACAACAACCGATCTTAAAATATTGTAATTATTTTAAAAAAAAAAGTGACAAGAATTTTTCTCATCCATCCAGTTTCGAACCCGCGACTATTAACCTATCTGTCGATTTTCCTACCTAATTCCTACGCGTTAAACCATTAGACTACCTACCGGGGGTGATTATATCACGATAAAATACACTATTTAAACAAGTCGTTATAATATTATAGAATTAGGTGTTTACTATTTTCAATCATATTTGTGATAATTATTTAAAAAAATAAAAAAATAGTAAATATAAGAACTAAGTAGTAAGTAAAGTATAGGTACACAATCTACCTACCTCATAGATATTTAGCCTTATTTTTTTTGAGGAGTGAAAAAACTATTAGACCAGGCGTGCCTATAGCCTAACCTTTTTCAACTTTATATAAATTAATATCAACAGTGATTGGAAACATTTGACATTTAATTACAACTACTACGGTTATAAGCATATATTTTTTATTTTTTTTATACATATTATAATAAAAACAAATTTAACATTTAAAACCTAGTTATTTATTAGGTAGGTACTTAATTAACAATTAAAATACAAATATGTGTTTTATGTAATATCTAATATCATTATAAATTAATAATATTTATACAATTTATCACTTATGGGTTATACATTTATAAAGCATATCTTATGGTTACATAAAGACTACCATCACCTAAAACCCGGGTAACCGATGGGGTTGAATCAGGTATTTGATTAACATAATTGATCAACAATTAGATCATAGGTATTAGTATTGTCTTCTACTTCGTGAGCATAAAAGTGATCATTAAAACCTACAGAATATAATGGTTTAACTATAAAGTAGGGAATCATTGATTTTCCAATAAGTATTTTCTCAACTTTACCAAATAAACAACCATCTAAATTCACCTCTAAAGTCAATACCACACCAGGCTTATAAAATATTCCTTTGTACTTACACCAAGATACAAGAAGAGAAATATTTTTTAATTCGTCAGGCATTGCCTGGTGAAACAAATGGGTAAATTGAACTGCAGATAGAAAATTTTGTCCTGGGCCAATTTCCAAATCAGCTCTTAAACCTTCTTGTTTAAGTAATCGGCTTGCCATTTGTAATTGAATTTTATATGCTGAGGTATGACCAAGATTAATTCTACATGGCACAGAATTGGAAATTGATTTTAAAATTTTATGCTTTGCTTCAAAACGAATAGATGAAGTCAAAATAATTGGCCCATTTTTCAGTAAAAGACGACCATAATGTGTTAAAACATGAAATTTTGGCTTTAATTTAGACTGAGAGTGCAATAAGTATAGTCGATTATGTTCAGCAACTAAGTTGTCTAGTTGAACAGCACATTCTTTTTGAACGTTTCTGGCACAACACAAATCAATCATTTTTCTTAAAGTAAGATAAAGGTTCCATACATCACATTTTAAAGGGACCAGCTCACCAATAATAAGGCCAAAGTATCGTACGAAACATAACATTTCTGCTGCAGACATGATAATCATACCATTTTTCAAATTTCCCAGGGTAATACAAGGTGGCCTGTTTTTACTTTCCAATACGCCATAATCAAATAATTCTATACGACTATTTAAGTCATCGATGCTAAAAAAATTATTTTTAATTAAGTTATTTATAATTACAGCCATATCATATCGTGCTACACCTTCGGGAACGTCATGCATAAAATCACATACAATGTTTTCAGTTACATGAAAATTTGGTACATCATTAAAAATACAACGTTCATTCAATCCAGTTACAGAAACATTAGCTTGTATTAAATCGCTTTCATAGTTTATTTTATTTCTGAGTAATTTTGACTCACAAATAAAATTTTTGAGATCTGATTTTGGAGAGCGACAAATCCTACAATAGTGATTAGCTGAAAAGCTTTCAACAAAACCTAATATTGAGTTCAGTCCCAAGTTATCCCCTAGTACTAAACCCAATGCAAAGTAAATAGTTATGTTATTAGATAACTGAATTCCGTATTCTTGAATTTCAATTAATTCTTTTATCAATGCTCTAAACATTTTCTTATTAGAAATTTTATGGCGACTACGATCAGAAGAGTGGAATAAAAATGCAACAAAAACATTGTCCAATGAAGATAAGTACTCAGGGGAGAATGCGGGAATAGTGTAATAAATACATCCAATTTTATGGATTCCTGAATGGGAACCTAAAGGATTTCCCATTTCTGCATCGTCATAATATAAAAAAATAGGAAAAACTGTTTTATCAGAAAATTTTGATTTCATATTTATCCAAGTAGAACCATCTATAAAAGAAGAAAGTACACTAGGGTTAGTATGGTTATTTAAAAAACTGTTGAGCAGTTTTTAATACTCCGGGGAGTTCAAAAAAAGATTTTAAATTTTTTTTTAAGGATAATAAGTGACCTTCTACTGGAACCATTAACAATTTTTCAACTCCATTTACACATTTTTTTTCTTTGCAATAACCTACATTTATTGTTTGAGGTTTAAAAAATAAATTGTTATCCTCTAAATATTTCATTCTTAAATGGTCAGTATTCAATTTAGAAAATGGATTTGCTAAAACTTCAAACAATTTATCTATTTCGTGTTTTTGAACAGGATCACAAGACTTTAAAAGTGGCTCTAATTTAATTTTTAGTTTATTTATTATTCCATTAGTAATTAAATCATCTGTGTCAGTAACTATCTTTTGCAACAGAGACCTAGTTACATTTGGTTTTGATTGCAAATCAACCACAAATCTCATTACACTTTGTAATATTGTATTTTTAAAATCTTCATCTATTTTATTTCCATATGTTTTATCAATATCTCAAGTATTAGGATCTAAGATAATGTTATTTATGGAAGGATTATGAACTTCAGAGTTTTCTGGTACTTGAGTTTTAGGCAAATTTGTACTTATACCAGGTTTTGAATTGGAATCATTATAAACTATAGAATGATCTCGATTTAAATGTTTTCTAAATTTATTAAATCCCCTGAAGTCCATTACACAATTATTTTGGTTACAAACACACAGTGATTGATTTGTTAAATTATGAAAAATTTGTAAATGTAAAATTAATTCATTTATTGTCAAAATTGTGTTTATAGGACACTTAAAACAGGTATACATATTAGTAATATTTACTTTCTAAAACTTTTTTAATATATAAAATAAATGAATAGTAATACTTCAGTTATTGAAGAGCATCTAATTTTTTAGACAAAGTATTTGTTATGGCTGTTGGTTTATCATACTTGGTCTTTAAATTAAATACATGGATTTGAATAAGCAGCCATGTTTCATAGCACTCTCTAGGGTAAGAGCAATTAAAAGAGAAGTAAGTCTTAAAACATATACTAAGAGCTTCTAAAGGACAGTTGGTTGACCACAATTGGTCATTAACCTGAATATAACTATTTTCAATATCAGATAAAGTTTTACCAACTATGATTAAAAATGGTTGAATTGTTGCACCATGCTCCATATAATTTCTGCGTCTTCTAGAAATACTGTGTTCTAATGTAGTTAAGTTCTGAAACAATAATTTATATTTTATAGTTCATAAATTATAAGTAGTAAGTTTTCTAAATAAAAAAAAAATTTAATTAAACTACAAGTATTAAAAATAATAAGTTTATAATTTTAGTCTTACAGTAACATGTGTAACAAACGCAGAAGCTGACTCTTCTAAGGACGGTTTCCAGAATTTCTTAGCTGCATTAATTTTTGGATTTTTAATCTGAGTTTTTGTAGGGATGAGATAAGGTAAAAGTAGCAGTCTAATAATGTTGATAGTTCGGTATTCTAGAAGCAAATAATGATCTTATAATTTATTATATAAAACTTAATAAAAAAAACAATTAAAATAGTACCTACCTTTATTTAATTCTGCTGAATCAAGTTGGGAAAGTAATTGTAGAGCATGTTTATCTTTAACAGAACCTCGTCTAATGTTAACAATGGATCTAGTAAAGCAAGTCCAGTTTCTTAGGAAAATATTCCAATCTTTGAATTCTTCTCTATTAGGGTACTGAAGTTCAAAATCTTTTTCAACCTGAAAAGTAATTATAGGTACCCAATAAAAAATGTCAAAAATACATATTAACATCTACTAACCAATTCATATCCTCTTGGGTTTTGAAGAATGGGCCACAATTCAAATACATCTGACAAATTCAAGTTATTTTGAATTTCAGCGCATCTTAGTTCATATGTTATTTCCCATTTTTTTAAAATTTCATTGAAAGAAGCGTTTAATCCATCATTACTAAGCCACTCTTTAGCTAATTTAACTTCATCTAAATAAAACATTTTTACTTAACTATCCGGTGGGTACCCATATTTAAATTCAAATAAATAAGACATTACCTGAAAATACATATGGTATAAAAGTGCCTGTTGAATCATCAAGTTTTTTCTTTTGACTTTCAATTGCACCAACTTTTCTTAAACGCCTTGAAACATTTTTCCAACGTTCTATTAATTTACCTTTTGCATGAGATTGCCCTTCTTGATTTGCAGATATAAAATAAACACTCTGTTTTTTTAAAAATATGTTATACATTTATTGTAGTGCTTATGTACATAAAAGGCATAATTAAAGAGATAGGATAATATAATTTACCTCTAATTAATTTGGAAATATTTCCGTTATTATCTTGGCAATGTTTCGAAAAAATAAATCTGTACCTCTAAAACATAATATTAAATTTTGATTTAGTTATATTAAGTTAATATTATTTTGATTATAGGTAGGTACATACTTGCACTGATCTTGGAATAAATAATTAATTAGCAACTTTGTCAACATATTTTGCCCATCATCAGTTAAGTAACCATTATGTGATTGTTCATCAGCAATAATAAATCGTCCATCATTTGTAGAACATAACAATTCTAATACAGTCTACAAAATAAAATAATAATTATTATACTAATAATATTCAATTTAGTTTTTCCAACAATACAATCTAAATAGCTGATAACTTTTAAAATGGTATAATAATATACTATCTATAATCAATGATAATATCTACACCTATATCAACTAACTATGGTAAAAATGAACCAATATGTCGCTGTATGTATTTAGCTAATCTAGACCCTTCCTTCTCACTAAATAATTTTTGATTTTTCTATTTATAATATATTTCTTGTAATAAATATATTATTGTAAATTGGGCAAAAGCCCATGTTGTATTATAAAATAAAATAAAAATAAATAAAATAAAAAATATCATAAAAAAATGTTATTGTTCCTATGGATGCTAGGTAGATAGTTGCTATTAACATTAATAAATAAATATTATTAAATAGGTATACACTAATGCATAGTATATTAATATGTATTACCTCTTTAGTCCACTGCATGGGTTTATAAAATCCATATTTTGTATGTGACTGAGTAGAAGTACTAGTAGATGAACTTGGATATGCCCTCGAATACGGTAGAAATCTGTTTGTGTTATTTTCTACTGCAACTTTATCATTCTCATATATTGATTTTGGGGCGTTTAAAATAATAGGTGCATCCAATGATGTTAAATAAAATCCTTCACTATTTTCAAAATCATGAACCTCATTTATTTTAACAGCTTCAGCTGTAACATAATTTGGAATTTGAAAATCTTCATTAACGATTTCCTAAAAGATATAAAGCATTATTGAAATAAAGTGTAATATAATATAAACTAAAGTCAGGACATCAAAATATTTAGATCGGTATGGATACCTATACGTTATACAAATTCACCAGTAATATTGTGATGATAGTGTTAATACCTAGGCACTTAATATGTAATAGGTATAATGATTAATCAATCTATTCCAAACCTGAATAAAATAAGTTTATTTGTATTTATTATTTGTCCAGCGACTAAGTATAATATAGGTACATACCGTGCAGTTTAATGAATCCATGATAGGTACTTGCAGTCTGCAGACTATATTATGTAACAGATTGATGTTGTACTAAACAAATAAACTTTAAGCACTGATACTTTAATAGCTATTATAAAAGCACATATTAATCGTCAATCGATATTGTTTTAATTATTCAGAGTTCAGACGTCATTTAGTGTGAATACTATGCGTCCACGCGCGGTATATAACAATTAACAACAATTATTATTCACAAATCACGGTGAAATAATATAATAACATAACCCAACAATAACCGATATATAGGTACCAATACCATGGTAGTATGGTACAACTTGTTAACAGTAATAATTTGTATTGTGATTGGTGATGATATTGTTAATAGTTAAATTATGTCATGCTATTTTTATCACAACCGTAAAAATAATAATAATGTTTGAGTGTGTTTGTAGTCAAAATAACTCCATTGCCGTGTTATCACAATAACATTTAGCGGTCAAATTTACAATTATATTTTGACTTAACTCAAATCAAATTTTAATTGGTAACAACTTTACAAATATATTACATTGACCACAGTACCTACTATTTCAACTTAAAACTAAAATATATGAAAATAACTGCATACAATTGTTAGTTTAATATATATTATTACGTTTGATGTACGATTCTTAGAATAACAAGTTACAATTGTTAAGTTAAGACAATACTGGGACCATCTAAATACTAGTATATTCTTAAAACAACAGAAATATTAGTGCTAAAACAAACTTAATACAACTTTAAAATTAACTATTTCAACATTTTTTAAATGAGACCTATTAATTTTAATCGAAGCATAAATAAATTACGAGACGACAACGAAGTATTTTAAATTTACTATTTACAATTTGTTGCTTTAGAATGTTTAATGCTCAACACTTGATAGTTAAATCAAGGTTCCATTAAGGTTTCACTTAACAACAAAACCGATTAAACCGAGTTTCTAGTATGTGACATCAGAGTTAGGAGTTAATTTAACTACCCCATTTTTATGTGTGTACGCTTAATTCTTAATCCCGATTCATCGTATATTATAATAATAACTATGTACTTATGAAATTGGTATTACTCCGTAGTAACTGGCTTACTACAATATCAAAAGTGGACTATATTATATGGAAATACACCACACAACATAGAAAAATAATAATTAATAATTCACAATAATATGTGCAAGATAGGGATGTAGGCGCCCACCTACGATATAATATAATAACGGGTTACTCGTTATTCGAGAAAATTAAATATAATAATATTATTCGCCACAAAGGCAATAGTACAAAATAATAAATATTGATACAATATCACAAGTAAATATGTTTACAAATATTAATGATAATAACATAGATAATAAACACCGCGTATCACTATTATGATACCGCGTTACCAGTAGTTGCCGCCGACCGCTCGACTGTCCGTACGGGATACGACCACAACCTCCAAACAACGCCTGCCTCCCGTTCTGATGCCGCAATCCACGATCCTGGCTGATGGCACCAAATCCCGACGTACTCTCGGTGTCCGGCAGCCTCGCACCCACGCACGATCCAATTATAACAAATATGAACAACCGAGTCGCCCGCTCGCACTCAAAACGCCATACAAAATTAGATGCCACTATAAATGGCAAATGCACCACACCGCATTGATTCCGCAATGAAAATTCAAAAGTTGAAGGGCGAAGCGAAGCGTAAATACGTTACGAACTCGACTCCGACAACGGCGGTGGGCACGGAACGACTAATTTATTGACCGTAGGTCTTTATTCGGGGAAGCCGGTTCGCGCTATAGAGCGGCGGGCGGTGGGGTCTTCTAGAACATTCTACGCCTTATCGGCCGGTGCAACTCGTTTGCGCACAATCCAAATTGTTTACCTAGATATCGATGACTCGTTTGCGCACAACGAATACCGTCGTTAACCTAAAAACGGACGACTCGTTTGCGCACAACATAAACACTGCATAACATATATTTTATATTTTTAAATTTGGACTAACTTAAGTAATTGATTATCAGTACATCAGCATATCAATATTCAATATATCATTATCATCATTGAAAATAATCGACGTGTATTAAACATAATATTTTTAAGCAGTCGTTCTCCAGAAAGCGGTACTACCTACTGACTAGTGACTATGGATATCGAAATTTGTGATATTTTTGAAAGAGAATTTCGAACTTTAAAATCTAGTGATACACATTTTAGGTGTACAAATAAAAAATGTTCCTTGAGTGATGTAGTAAGGTTAGTTAATAATAAAAAAATATAAAATTTTAAAAATTAAAAACACGCATAGAACCACTATTACTTCTTATTAATTGTATAATTATATATTTATTCAGAACAGACACACACGACATGCACATTTTTAATCTGTACAAAACAGATGGTCCTAAGCCTATATTAAAGTGAGAAGAGAAATGTGCTGTTCTGCTCAAAGTGAAATGTGCGCAAATGAGTTGTACCTTTATAATTTAAACCCAAAATATGTGTGCGCAAACGAGTTTTGATTTTGTGCGCAAACGTGCCATAAAAAAGGTAAATGTGCGCAAACGAATCGCACCCCTTATCGGCGTAGACCCGTGATCAAAATAAATATTGTCACCAACGGAGTCGGCACCGAACAACTATACTTATTCTAGGCTAGCCTTACAATTATTTTCATTCAAAATTCCTGACGTCGACTACTTTTATTCAATAAGGTCATCTACTGCATTTTAATTCAAAATCTATTTTTCTTCAATATATCAACTTATATTTTTTTTTCAACAATTATTATCTATCATTTCAATTCAAAAAAAAATATTCATCTAATATTTACATATATTCAATTGCTACGCTCGTGCATTAATTTTCAGAGCAGCCTATCGCTGTCTATTGATTCTCAATAATTACTATAAAATTCTTAGATCGGTCAATGCCGTCTATTTACCATTAAAATCTCGGATCGGTCCCTGCCGTCTATTTAAAAAAAACTAGATCAGTCCCTGCTGTCTATTACAAAAAATTCCTATTTTCCCTATAACAAGCTTGTTTTATTTTATTTTTATTCATCTAAATATTACACCTTCCCTAATATTTAAAAAAAATTAACTCTGGTTTAAAAACCAACGTGAGACGTGCACTCAAAACTACAATTCTATCTGCAATATTTTTATCTTCAACTTAATTAATTAACTCACATTACTGTTGCACCTGCTGCTGGATTCATCTTGTCTGCTTGCCTGTCTATTGTGTTCTTTGCCTCCGGAGTTGTCAAAGGTGATCGGTCCTCGAATGTGACTCGGTTGAGCTGCCTCCGTGGAGTTGTGACGTTAAATCAAGCCGCTGCGCCGGAACTGGACTTCCGAAGTTGAATTCTGCCGAATTTACTGCTTGGTTCGCCTTTGGAAGTTGGATTCCGCCGCCTTGACTGCTCAGCTCGCCTTTAACTCCTTTGAAGCTCCTTTTTCGACTGCGCCAGTGTAATATACTGGTGGCTCTGATAGCTACTAGTATATTAACAGTTGCAGGTAGCTAGACCGTTTACTGTGATGATGAGGTATCGGATGAACAATTATAACACAAATGCCAAATTATACTGTTGTTTTATTAGAGTTCCAACAATCACAAAAGTGCTGAGTTCCAAATGACAATCG